CCAAGTCCACTGCTAAACCATGTTCCTCGGCACTACATCTACCTGTCTTTTAAATACCTCCTGGGACGGTGATTCAAGCACTTCCCTGGGCAGCCTGTTCCAATGCTTGACAACCCTTTTGATGAAGAAGTTTTTCCTAATATCCAATCTAAACCTCCCCTGGTGCAACTTGAGGTCATTTCCTCTTATCCTATCACATAATACTTGGGAGACTGACGGCCACCTCATTACAACCTCCTTTCAGGTAGTTGTAGAAAGTGATAAAAGTCTCCCCTCAGCCTCCTTTCCTCCAGGCTAAACAACCCCAGTTCCCTCAGCTACTCCTCATAAGACTTGTGCCCTAGATCCTTCACCCGCTTCGTTACCCTTCTCTGGACATGCTGCAGCACCTCAATGTCTTTCTCGTAGTGAGGGGCCCAAAACTGAACACAATACTCGAGGTGTGGCCTCACCAGTGCCAAGTACAGGGGGGAGGATCACTTCCCTAGTCCTGCTGGCCACACTATTCCTGATACAAGGCAGGATGCTATTGTCCTTCTTGGCCACCTGGGCACTCCGCTGGCTCATATTCAGCCGGCTGTCAATCAACACCCCCAGGTCCTTTTCTGCCGGGCAGCTTTCAAGCCACTCTTCCCCAAGCCTGTAGCACTGCATGGGGTTGTTGTGACCCAAGTGCAGGACCCGGCACTTGGCCTTGTTGAACCTCATACCATTGGCCCCAGCCCATCGATCCAGCCTGTCCAGATCTCTCTGTAGAGCCTTCCTACCCTCAAGCAGATCAATACTCCCATCCAACTTGGTGTCATCTGCAAACTTACTGAGGGTGTGCTCGATCCCCTCATCCAGATTACTGATAAAGATATCAAACAGAACAGGCCCCAATACTGAGCCCTGGGGATCACACTTGTGACCGGCCACCAACTGGATTTGGTTCCATTCACCACAACTCTTTGGGCCTGGCCATCTAGCCAGTTTTTTTAAGCAGTGAAGAGTACACCCGTCCAAGCCATGAGCAGCCAGTTCTTCCTTTTATAAGCTCATCATACACACAATCAGAAGATACTGACACAGTGCCTACTGCTGTGAGAACTTCCCATTTGAATTTCAGGTTTTAGGTGAATTCTATGTAAGTTTCACGGAAAACTTTTCAAAGAAACATTGTAAGTATGTTGCAAAATCTTCTCTTGGGCTCTTCAGGTTTTCTTGAGCAAAGTCACTTCCTGTGGTTTTACAGCTCTGAGAAGTCGCTGTTTACTTCTGTCTTTTAAAGGGAGTGAAAATACACACTCATCCTTGCAGCAGACTATTATATAAAAGTGTTTAATATGATAAAATAAGTACCCTTAATGAGACACTCCTTTGATAAAGTTCCTAAAGTAAGGTGCATTATTATAATTTAACAGTTATCAGCACCATTTGCTTCACTCATGCGTGGAAGGTTGGGTCCCAGGATACAAGAATGGATGAACCTGCACTTGTTTTATTCCTAGTGACACTTAAATAATTTCTGCTTTTATTAAAGTTATAGAAATGTTAAAGATTAATGCCTACAAATACTTGAACTTTCAAAAAGTTAGTGGACATGAGAACTAAGAAAGCAACTGCAAGAACTGAAGGAGAAGAGAACCTAAGGAACAACTGGAAGTTCACTGTTCACTTTCCACATACAAGTCCAAGAAAACATTCCAGAAGACTTCAAGGGAACAAGACAGAAGGCATCATTTTATCTAAGAGATAATCCGGGAATTCCAGCAAATAAAAAATTGTTCCTAAATATGGCAAAGCTGGCTTGTGAGTTTTCTCTCTGTACACCATTTCTACCAACTATCAACTGTTAAATATGAAGGGGATTCACTTTGGGAACTGACTGAGCCTTTAGAAGTGTATTCTGGAATGTAACAGCTGTCACGTAGCCCAAGAAATTCAAAGGCTGCACTGCAAGAATTGAAATGGAAGGTTTGGGGGCAGCTGCTTGGGAAGAGGTTTTTTCCTAAGCGTGCTTAGTAACACCTAAGCATATCTAATAAAATTAACAAGGAAGTAAAACCAAGTCAGGTTCTAAAACTACCACAAAGACTTTAACATCCCTTCTCTGTTAAAACATCATTGTAAGAGAAAATTGTATAGGTCATAGGCATAATTACAACCTGATTCAAGAGTTGTGTCTATAAAGCTCCACCTATTAGTAAAGGGATCTTCTAAGAGCAGAGAAGAAAGCGTTTTCTTCTGTGAAGATACATTAGTCACATAAATTGCACATAGATTGTTTTGGTTTAAAAAGTTAAACTTATTTTACATTCTTACTATGCTAAAGAATATAGATGGAATATCATTTTAAGGAATTCTATATTTTTCTTTTAGATTTTTAGTGTTTCACTGATATGGGCAGAAGCTTCATACTACATAGTCTTGTATGCACACATATAATGTAACAAATATACATTTGGGAGGAAGAGCCTTTTTATTTGGGGGAATAAATAGTTTACATCAAAATTTTTATTATTCCGATATCTACTTGTTGTTAATTGTGATCAACAGTGTTCACATTCCATATTTTCTGAAACAAAGAAATAGTAACAACTACTTTCAAAGAGTTTTATCCAAGCATGCTAACTATTATTACCTGTATTTTTTATTGCAATAACTTATTTTGCATACCCTAGAGAGCAGGAGTTAGACATTAATACCTAGAACTGCTGTTCAATTTACTTCAGCGTCGTCAGTTATGAGCCTGAAGATTCTTAATGAATGGATCTACTTCTTTGTTTGTGAACAATCTTCAAGACATGAGTAATTGCACACAATGATCTTATTACTTCATTTTGTGCCTACTACCACAGATAATTCATTACTGCATACAGGACAGCTCATAGGAGCACGCACTATAGCCTGTGGGATGTATTTACAGGATTTTGTTCCATTGTCTTCTGTAAAACATACCAGCACATCACATAATTTCACATAATTTCTCCTTGTGACTGTTGCGTGCTGTCTAACCATGAATTTGGTACACACATTATAGTCTCAAATTCAGAAATAGGAGTGAATCAAGCACAGTCAAGTCAGACAGCTCTATTTTGCGTAAGGAAAGTAGGTTACCTAGTTAACTGCATACAAATGAAGCCATTAAGCATGCTGCCAGGTAGATTCCATGCACTCTAATTTTCAATAGAAAGCAGGATACTTAAGGATCCACTCTTACCTGGCCTCATAGAAATCTGTTTAATTATTTTTTTTTTTCTAAAGCATAATCAGTTTCTGATTCACTAATAGAGCTACTGAGAATGTTTCTACTTGCATCTCCTATCCTCCCACTCTGAAAGCTGTGTCACTGCATATCTGTCAGTGGATCCCTGTCACAGATGTTCTGGTTCGGGACCGACTTTTCTCATAAAATGCGTTCTTCCTACAGACAGTTCTTTGGATTATTATATGTTCCTGCCATTTTTTTCTCCCAAGTTACCAAATACAACCTAATTTTCACAGTCTTTCCAAACTTATGTGTTCATTTTGTGTGTGCATAACAGTTCCATGAGGAGCTGAACCTGTTTCTGTAGAGCTCAGTGAGAGCAGACTCCCATGTATCTGCTGAAAAGATAATCCCTTCTTTTCTACTCTGAATCATTTACCTTATTCCCCATGACACTGCTAAATGAACATGCATTCAGCTCCTCAGTGCTTCAGAAAAATAAACACTAAGAAGTCAGAATACATTTTTCCCCTTTTTTAAAAAAAACATACAAATATTAATGTAGATGCTCTGTGTAAATTACACATCAACATATGTGTATTTATACAACTGTGAACACTTAGACCTGACCACTTAATATTGTTCAGCATAAAGACTGCAATTAAAATACAAAGTCAAATTCTTAGTGCAATGCTGAATGTCAGTTGTACTGTAATGTTATATTACCTGCAACCCTCCCCCCATTTCAGTGGGCATGGATCATTTGTTTTCAGCACCATTCCCTAAACGACATTGCCATTGAAATGCTTAGGGAAAATGGGGCATTTGCTCAAGCAAGTTACATCAGGCAGTGTCTAGAGAAGGCAGTGACTTACAATGGGATTGGTTTTGCTGTCTAAATTAAAAATAGAGGCACACTCATTCTAGCAGGGTGATGATTTCTGCAAATTCAGCCAGCTGAAAAACTACAATTAAAGACAACCTACAAACCCCTTGTTGCAACTATCCATCAATGCAGCCAATTCCTTTCATAAGGATTACTAAAAGGTTTGCAGGATTCAGGGCTTAATTTCACCATACAGTACGATGAACAGTAAGACGCTGTGGAACGACTGCCTGCTAGCAAACTTTGTCGGAATCTCTCAGATGTATTATCTTTATCTAGAAAGCCCAGCATCAAGAAATGTCAGGGATAATACTTGTTTAAGTTACAAAAGAACAAAGAGGTATTTTCTAATCATTTCTCTGTTTCTGTACTAACCTGGGAGCATATTGGCTTTAGAAATATGAAATAATATTTTGATAACCAAAGAAACTATTTCCAAACTATTTCCACTTCAAGTTGTTAACTGTAATCCCTTGTTATTCTAAGGTCAATTTCTTCCTACGATGTATTTTGCCTCTTCCTTTAACCATTTGGTCAGTAGCTTATAATGAGCTATGCCTAAAACTGTTCTTGTCAAATAATTATCTCTTTTTTTTTTCACTCTACAGTTGAGGTCTTATCCAAATCCTTCTCATTTAAACAAACATAAAGCAATTAGCTTCTCTGGAGTTTAGAGCAGGGCAGCTCCAAACTGCCCAGATAGGCTTAGTTTTTTTTTTTTTCTGACGGGAGCTCAGCTTTCTTCTAGCCTAAAGGAGCCATGTGGGATGCAGAATCCTTAAAGGCTGAATCCTGACCTTCCTGAAGGCAAAACACTCCAGATTTTTTTTTCGTCTTTAAAAAAAAATCCACCTATGGCCTCAGTAGACATTTTAGCAGCAATTTCTCCCAGCTCTACCTGTGCACACAAAGATGAGGTCTCACCTGACTTGTCAGAAGAATCATCAAACTCCACGTTGAAGGAGTGCCCGTTGTTGACTATGTTTCTTGCCGTGCCGGCATCATAGCTGAAGCTGAGCGGCTTCAGAGAGGAGTCGTACTTGGCCGATTTGCTGCTAATGTCAACTGGGGACTGGCGCTCTCCATTGGCGATGGGGAAGTGCTCGTGCCAGTGAGCGGGTCCTGCAAGACAGAGTAAACAGCTCAGTGGGAAAGGACATGAAGCTCGAGGGATACAAATGATAACCCTCACTCTAGAAAGCGGGATGCTTGAACGCTAGCGTCATAACGTACATCATAACAGACATCATAATGCACCACCTGTGCAGGCTGCCGATGCCAGTAACACAGATGAGGTGATATCCCACCTAGGGACCAAGGCAGGGACCTGGCAGTTTTTATCGGGGGGTCCTTCTAGAGACCAGCCAGTCCTGCTGGAGCAGCGCCCCGTCCTCCCCTCTTCCTTGCCCCGTCACCGAAGTAAAGGAATGACAGTACAGTAGGAAACCAGAGGATGCTCCAGGCAAACCGCGCGGCGCGCCGCTCGGGCGCAGGTGGCATCTCAAGGTTAAAAAAAAAAAAGAAAAGAAAAGAAAAGAAAAAAACGCCACCGAGCTCTTTCTCGCTCCGGGCAAGGGCTCGGTGCGACGCGCAGCGGTCACGTCCCGGGCAGCTCCCGGGGACCTG